GCCCGGTATATAGGTCCTGGATGGCAGGAAGCTTGGCCCCAGTGATGTACTGGGCCGTACGCACTACCTTCTGTAGTGCCTTGCGGTCGGAGGCAGAGCAGTTGCCATACCAGGCGGTGATGCAACCAGTCAGGATGCTCTCGATGGTGCAGCTGTAGAACCTTTTCAGGATCTGGGGACCCATGCCAAATCTTTTCAGTCTCCTGAGGGGGAATAGGTTTTGTCGTGCCCTCTTCAAGTCTGTCTTGGTGTGTTTGGATCATGTTAGTTTGTTGGTGATGTGGACACCAAGGAACTTGAAGCTCTCAACTTGCTCCACTACAGCCCCGTCGATGAGAATGGGGACGTGCTCGGTCCTCTTCTTTTTCCTGTAGTCCACAATCATCTCCTTTGTCTTTGTCATGTTGAGGGAGAGGTTGTTATCCTGGCACCACACGGCCAGGTCTCTGACCTCCTCCCTATAGGCTGTCTCATCGTTGTCGGTGATCAGGCCTACCACTGTTGTGTCATCTGCAAACTTAATGATCGTGTTGGAGTCGTGCCTGGCCATGCAGTCATGGGTGAACAGGGAGTACAGGAGGGGACTGAGCACGCACCCCAGAGGGGCCCCCGTGTTGAGGATCAGTGTGGCAGATGTGTTGTTACCTACCCTTACCACCTGGGGGCGGCCCGTCAGGAAGTCCAGGATCCATTTGCAGAGGGAGGTGTTTAGTCCCAGGGTCCTTAGCTTAGTGATGAGCTTTGAGGGCACTATGGTGTTGAACGCTGAGCTGTAGTCAATGAACAGCATTCTCACATAGGTGTTCCTTTTGTCCAGGTGTGAAAGGGCAGTGTGGAGTGCAATAGAGATTGCATAATCTGTGGATCTGTTGGGGCCATATGCAAATTGGAGTGGGTCTAGGGTTTCTGGGATAATGGTGTTGATGTGAGCCATGACCAGCCTTTCAAAGCACTTCATGGCTACAGACGTGAGTGCTACGGGTCGGTAGTCATTTAGGCATGTTACCTTAGTGTTCTTGGGCACAGGGACTATGGTGGTCTGCTTGAAACATGTTGATATTACAGACTCAGACAAGGAGAGGTTGAAAATGTCAATGAAGACACTTGCCAGTTGGTCAGCACATGCTCGGATTACATGTTGAATGTTGACCTGTTTAAAAGTCTTACTCACATCGGCTATGGAGAGCGTGATCACACAGTCATCCGGAACAGCTGATGCTCTCATTCATGTTTCAGTGTTGCTTGCCTCGAAGCGAGCATAGAAGTGATTTAGCTCGTCTGGTAGGCTCGTGTCACTGGACAGCTCACGGCTGGGTTTCCCTTTGTAGTCTGTAATAGTTTGCAAGCCCTGCCACATCCGACGAGCATCAGAGCCGGTGTAATATGATTACGTACGATTCGATCTTAGTCCTGTATTGACTCTTTGCCTGTTTGATGGTTCGTCGGAGGGCATAGCGAGATTTCTTATAAGCGTCCGGGTTAGAGTCCCGTTCCTTGAAAGCGGCAGCTCTACCCTTTAGCTCAGTGCAGATGTTTCCTGTAATCCATGGCTTCTGGTTGGGGTATGTATGTATGTACAGTCAATGTGGGGACGACGTCATCGATGCACTTATTGATGAAGCCAGTGACTGATGTGGTGTACTCCTCAATGCTATCGGAAGAATCCCGGAACATATTCCAGTCTGTGCTAGCAAAACAGTCCTGTAGCTTAGCAACTGAGTCATCTGACCACTTTTTTATTAACCGAGTCACTGGTACTTCCTGCTTTAGTATTTGCTTGTAAGCAGGAATCAGGAGGATAGAATTATGGTCAGATATCATCTGACCACTTTTTATTGACTGAGTCACTGGTGTATCGTATCGGCACCTAAGTATCGTAACAATATCGTATCGTGAGGTCCCTGACAATTCCCAGCCCTAATACCTAGGTGAGACAATCACATATCACAGTCAAATGTACAGGATAGGATCATTCCATTCCAGCTAAACAATGGCTATATAGCGGTTAGCCAAAAAAACACATTTTCACACACATCTAAAATCTATTAATAGAAAATCTGAAATAGCCTCTCCCGTTGGGGAGTTGCAGTGATGAGATCGTAATCACGAAATTGGAGAGAAAAAGGGGGGTACAAAAAAACAAAAACATTTAAAAATAAAATTATATATATATACACACATACACACACACACACACAGACAGTCGTGGTCAAAAGTTTTGAGAATGACACAAATACTAATTTTCACAAAGTCTGCTGCCTCAGTTTTGATGATGGCAATTTGCGTATACTCCAGAATGTCATGAAGAGTGATCAGATGAATTGCAATTAATTGCAAAGTCCCTATTTGCCATGAAAATGACTGATGGCAGCCCATTCTTGCATAATCAATGCTTGGAGTTTGTCAGAATTTGTGGGTTTTTGTTTATCCACCCGCCTCTTGAGGATTGACCACAAGTTCTCAATGGGATTAAGGTCTGGGGAGTTTCCTGGCCATGGACCCAAAATTTCGATGTTTTGTTCCCAGAGCCACTTAGTTATCACTTTTGCCTTATGGCAAGGTGCTCCATCATGCTGGAAAAGGCATTGGTCGTCACCAAACTGTTCTTGGATGGTTGGGAGAAGTTGCTCTCGGAGGATGTGTTGGTACCATTCTTTATTCATGGCTGTGTTCTTAGGCAAAATTGTGAGTGAGCCCACTCCCTTGGCTGAGAAGCAACCCCACACATGAATGGTCTCAGGATGCTTTACTGTGGGCATGACACAGGACTGATGGTAGCGCTCACCTTGTCTTCTCTGGACAAGGTGTTTTCCGGATGCCCCAAACAATCGGAAAGGGGATTCATCAGAGAAAATGACTTTACCCCAGTCCTCAGCAGTCCAATCCCTGTACCTTTTGCAGAATATCAGTCTGTCCCTGATGTTTTTCCTGGAGAGAAGTGGCTTCTTTGCTGTCCTTCTTGACACCAGGCCATCCTCCAAAAGTCTTCGCCTCACTGTGCGTGCAGATGCACTCACACCTGCCTGCTGCCATTCCTGAGCAAGCTCTGCACTGGTGGTGCCCCGATCCCGCAGCTGAATCAACTTTAGGAGATGGTCCTGGCGCTTGCTGGACTTCCTTGGGCGTCCTGAAGCCTTCTTCACAACAATTGAACCTCTCTCCTTGAAGTTCTTGATGATCCGATAAATGGTTGATTTAGGTGCAATCTTACTAGCAGCAATATCCTTGCCTGTGAAGCCCTTTTTGTGCAAAGCAATGATGACGGCACGTGTTTCCTTGCAGGTAACCATGGTTAACAGAGGAAGAACAATGATATCAAGCACCACCCTCCTTTTAAAGCTTCCAGTCTGTTATTCTAACTCAATCAGCATGACAGCGTGATCTCCAGCCTTGTCCTCGTCAACACTCTCATACGTGTTAACGAGAGAATCACTGACATGATGGCAGCTGGTCCTTTTGTGGCAGGGATGAAATGCAGTGGAAATGTTTTTGGGGGATTAAGTCCATTTTCATGGCAAAGAGGGACTATGGAATTAATTGCAATTCATCTGATCACTCTTCATGACATTCTGGAGTATATGCAAATTGCCATCATCAAAACTGAGGCAGCAGACTTTGTGAAAATTAGTATTTGTGTCATTCTCAAAACTTTTGACCACAACTGTATATCGAGAGAGGCGAAGATCGAGACATTTGTCCTCCGAAACATGACCTGCCAAACCGCACTGCTTCTTAACACACTGCTCACTTAACCCGGAAGCCAGCCACACCAATGTGTCGGAGGAAACACAGTTCGACTGACAGAGGTTAGCTTGCAGGTGCCCGGCCCGTAACAAGGAGTTGCTAGATCGCGATGAGTCAAGGAAAAGCCCCCCGGCCAAACCCTCCCCTAACCCGGACAGCGCTGGGCCAATTGTGCGCCGCCCTATGGGGCTCCCGGTCACGGCCGGCTGTGACACCGCCTGGGATCGTACCCCTAGCTGTACTCGGGAGGCCCCATAAGCAATCATTTCTGATGAAAAGACCATTTGTGGATATGGCGTTTTGGAAATAAACTGTTCAACCATCTATACAGGGTTACATATTAGTTTCTAGGGCACAACGCGTTTCAGAAGTAGCTGGAATTCATTTACATTGACATTGTAGTCATTTAGCAGACGCTCTTATCCAGAGCGACTTACAGTTAGTGAGTCATTTAGCAGACGCTCTTATCCAGAGCCACTTACAGTTAGTGAGTCATTTAGCAGACGCTCTTATCCAGAGCCACTTACAGTTAGAGAGTCATTTAGCAGACGCTCCTATCCAGAGCCACTTACAGTTAGTGAGTCATTTAGCAGACGCTCTTATCCAGAGCCACTTACAGTTAGAGAGTCATTTAGCAGACGCTCTTATCCAGAGCCACTTACAGTTAGAGAGTCATTTAGCAGACGCTCTTATCCAGAGCCACTTACAGTTAGTGAGTCATTTAGCAGACGCTCTTATCCAGAGCCACTTACAGTTAGAGAGTCATTTAGCAGACGCTCTTATCCAGAGAGACTTACAGTTAGTGAGTCATTTAGCAGACGCTCCTATCCAGAGCCACTTACAGTTAGTGAGTCATTTAGCAGACGCTCTTATCCAGAGCGACTTACAGTTAGTGAGTCATTTAGCAGACGCTCTTATCCAGAGCCACTTACAGTTAGTGAGCGCATACATTTTTCATACTGGCCCCCTGTGAGAAACGAACCCACAACCCTGGCGTTGCAAGCGCCATGTTCTACCAACTGAGCTACAGGGGACTATATCTCAATTCATAAAAAATAAAACAAATATTTTCTGGTGCTCCTAAATGTAGTTGTGCTTCTAACTTTTAAAAGTTGTGAGCACCAGTGCTACCAGTGAAACGTCTTAATTTAGAGCCCTGATTAGTGATGCCATTATTAATGTTGGGATGTCATCTGTCCATCAGAAAGTACAATCCCCCTCCGCTGGAGGACAAGGTGACCAAGCTGAAGGTTACCATGGTAGCTTGGGATCGCCACGACAACACAGTCATCACCGCCGCCAACAACCTGACGCTCAAAGTCTGGAACTCCACCACCGGAAACCTCATCCACATACTGATGGTATATACACACACACACACACACAGACACACACAGACACACACAGACACACACAGACACACACACACACACACACACACACACACACACACACACACACACACACACACACACCACACACACACACACACACACACACACACAGACACACACAGACACACACACCCACACACACACACACACACACACACACCACACACACACACACACACACACACACCACACACACACACACACACACACACACACACACACACACACACACACACACACACACACACACACACACACACAACACACACACACACACACACCACACACACACACACACACACACCACACACACACACAACACACACACACACACACACACAGAGACACACACACACAGACACACACACACACACACACACACAGACACACACAGACAGACACACACACACACAGACAGACAGACAGACAGACAGACAGACAGACAGACAGACAGACAGACACACATACACATACACATACACATACACATACACATAGACAGACAGACAGACACTGATTTGATGGATTAATTGATTGATTGATTGATCCCAGGGTCATGAGGACGAGGTGTTTGTCCTGGAGCCACACCCCTTTGACCCCCGCATCCTTTTCAGCGCCGGGCATGATGGGAATGCCATCGTCTGGGACCTGGCCAGGGGGGTCAAGATACGATCCTACTTCAACATGGTGAGACGGGGGGCAGGGGGGGTGGGGTGGGGCAGGGGTGCAGGTGGGGTGGGGTGGGGCAGGGGGTTTGGGGTGGGGCAGGGGGGCAGGTGGGGTGGGGGGGCATGTGTGTGTGTATTTATGATGGTTCAGGGTAGGGGTGTGTATTTATGATGGTTCAGGGTAGGGGTGTGTATTTATGATGGTTCAGGGTAGGGGTGTGTATTTATGATGGTTCAGGGTAGGGGTGTGTATTTATGATGGTTCAGGGTAGGGGTGTGTATTTATGATGGTTCAGGGTAGGGGTGTGTATTTATGAAGGTTCAGGGTAGGGGTGTGTATTTATGATGGTTCAGGGTAGGGGTGTGTATTTATGATGGTTCAGGGTAGGGGTGTGTATTTATGATGGTTCAGGGTAGGGGTGTGTATTTATGATGGTTCAGGGTAGGGGGGTGTATTTATGATGGTTCAGGGTAGGGGTGTGTATTTATGATGGTTCAGGGTAGGGGTGTGTATTTATGATGGTTCAGGGTAGGGGTGTGTATTTATGATGGTTCAGGGTAGGGGTGTGTGTTTATGATGGTTCAGGGTGTGTATTTATGATGGTTCAGGGTAGGGTGTGTTATTTTGTATGTGTTTAGTCAGGGTAGGGGTGTGTATTTATGATGGTTCAGGGTGGTCAGTAGGGGTGTGTATTTATGATGGTTCAGGGTAGGGGTGTGTATTTATGATGGTTCAGGGTAGGGGTGTGTATTTATGATGGTTCAGGGTAGGGTGTGTGATTTATGATGGTTCAGGGTAGGGGTGTGTATTTATGATGGTTCAGGGTAGGGGTGTGTATTTATGATGGTTCAGGGTAGGGGTGTGTGTATTTATGATGGTTCAGGGTAGGGGTGTGTATTTATGATGGTTCAGGGTAGGGGGTTTGTATTTATTGATGGTTCAGGGTAGGGGTGTGTATTTATGATGGTTCAGGGTAGGGGTGTGTATTTATGATGGTTCAGGGTAGGGGTGTGTATTTATGATGGTTCAGGGTAGGGTGTGTTGTGTTAGGGTGTATTATGATGGTTCAGGGTAGGGGGTGTGTATTTATGATGGGTTCAGGGTAGGGGTGTGTATTTATGATGGTTCAGGGTAGGGGTGTGTATTTATGATGGTTCAGGGTAGGGGTGTGTATTTATGATGGTTCAGGGTAGGGGTGTGTATTTATGATGGTTCAGGGTAGGGGTGTGTATTTATGATGGTTCAGGGTAGGGGTGTGTATTTATGATGGTTCAGGGTAGGGGTGTGTATTTATGATGGTTCAGGGTAGGGGTGTGTGTATTATGATGGTTCAGGGTAGGGTGTGTATTTATGATGGTTCAGGGTAGGGGTGTTGTATTATGATGGTTCAGGGTAGGGGTGTGTATTTATGATGGTTCAGGGTAGGGGTGTTATTTATGATGTTCAGGGTAGGGGTGTGTATTTATGATGGTTCAGGGTAGGGTGTGTATTTATGATGGGTTCAGGGTAGGGGTGTGTATTATGATGGTTCAGGGTAGGGGTGTGTATTTATGATGGTTCAGGGTAGGGGTGTGTATTTATGATGGTTCAGGGTAGGGGTGTGTATTTATGATGGTTCAGGGTAGGGGTGTGTATTTATGATGGTTCAGGGTAGGGGTGTGTATTTATGATGGTTCAGGGTAGGGGTGTGTATTTGATGCAGGTAGGGGTTTAGGTAGGGTGGTGTGTATTTATGATGGTTCAGGGTAGGGGTGTGTATTTATGATGGTTCAGGGTAGGGGTGTGTATTTATGATGGTTCAGGGTAGGGGTGTGTATTTTGATGGTTCAGGGTAGGGTGTGTGTATTTATGATGGTTCAGGGTAGGGGTGTGTATTTATGATGGTTCAGGGTAGGGGTGTGTATTTATGATGGTTCAGGGTAGGGGTGTGTATTTATGATGGTTCAGGGTAGGGGTGTGTATTTATGATGGTTCAGGGTAGGGGTGTGTATTTATGATGGTTCAGGGTAGGGGTGTGTATTTATGATGGTTCAGGGTAGGGGTGTGTATTTATGATGGTTCAGGGTAGGGGTGTGTATTTATGATGGTTCAGGGTAGGGGTGTGTATTTATGATGGTTCAGGGTATGGGTGTGTATTTATGATGGTTCAGGGTAGGGGTGGTATTTATGATGGTTCAGGGTAGGGGTGTGTATTTATGATGGTTCAGGGTAGGGGTGTGTATTTATGATGGTTCAGGGTAGGGTGTGTATTTATGATGGTTCAGGGTAGGGGTGTGTATTTATGATGGTTCAGGGTAGGGTGTGTATTTATGATGGTTCAGGGTAGGGGTGTGTATTTATGATGGTTCAGGGTAGGGGTGTGTATTTATGATGGTTCAGGGTAGGGGTGTGTATTTATGAGGTTCAGGGTAGGGGTGTGTATTTATGATGGTTCAGGGTAGGGGTGTGTATTTATGATGGTTCAGGGTAGGGGTGTGTATTTATGAGGTTCAGGGTAGGGGTGTGTATTTATGATGGTTCAGGGTAGGGGTGTGTATTTATGATGGTTCAGGGTAGGGGTGTGTATTTATGATGGTTCAGGGTAGGGGTGTGTATTTATGATGGTTCAGGGTAGGGGTGTGTATTTATGATGGTTCAGGGTAGGGGTGTGTATTTATGATGTTTCAGGGTAGGGGTGTGTATTTATGATGGTTCAGGGTAGGGGTGTGTATTTATGATGGTTCAGGGTAGGGGTGTGTATTTATGATGGTTCAGGGTAGGGGTGTGTATTTATGATGGTTCAGGGTAGGGGTGTGTATTTATGATGGTTCAGGGTAGGGGTGTGTATTTATGATGGTTCAGGGTAGGGGTGTGTATTTATGATGGTTCAGGGTAGGGGTGTGTATTTATGATGGTTCAGGGTAGGGGTGTGTATTTATGATGGTTCAGGGTAGGGGTGTGTATTTATGATGGTTCAGGGTAGGGGTGTGTTATTTGATGATGGTTCAGGGTAGGGGTGTGTATTTATGATGGTTCAGGGTAGGGTGTGTATTTATGATGTGTTCAGGGTAGGGGTGTGTATTTATGATGGTTCAGGGTAGGGGTGTGTATTTATGATGGTTCAGGGTAGGGGTGTGTATTTATGATGGTTCAGGGTAGGGGTGTGTATTTATGATGGTTCAGGGTAGGGGTGTGTATTTATGATGGTTTCAGGTGTAGGGGGTGGGTATTTATGATGGTTAATGGGTAGGGGGGTGATTTATGATGGTCAGGGTGGGGTGGTATTTATGATGGTTCAGGGTAGGGGGGTGTATTTATGATGGTTCAGGGTAGGGGTGGTATTTTATGATGGTTCATTGGTTAGGGGGGGTGTATTTATTGTATGGTTTCAGGGTAGGGGTGTGCCGATCTCGTCATACTGTATCCGTTTAATCACACTTGATACTTGTAATCAGACTTATTCAGGATCGGAAAACCCGGAAGTGCGCTTTAAATACCGATAAAGCCTATACCTCAAGGTCCCATTACTGCTCCATCACTCAGAGGGCATCGTTATGGTCCTTCACTAACATTACTGCTCCATCACTCAGAGGGCATCGTTATGGTCCTTCACTAACATTACTGCTCCATCACTCAGAGTGCATCGTTATGGTCCTTCACTAACATTACTGCTCCATCACTCAGAGGGCATTATTATGGTCCTTCACTAACATTACTGCTCTATCACTCAGAGGGCATCGTTATGGTCCTTCACTAACATTACTGCTCCATCACTCAGAGGGCATCGTTATGGTCCTTCACTAACATTACTGCTCCATCACTCAGAGGGCATCGTTATGGTACTTCACTAACATTACTGCTCCATCACTCAGAGGGCATCGTTATGGTCCTTCACTAACATTACTGCTCCATCACTCAGAGGGCATCGTTATGGTCCTTCACTAACATTACTGCTCCATCACTCAGAGGGCATCGTTATGGTCCTTCACTAACATTACTGCTCCATCACTCAGAGGGCATCGTTATGGTCCTTCACTAACATTACTGCTCCATCACTCAGAGGGCATCGTTATGGTACTTCACTAACATTACTGCTCCATCACTCAGAGGGCATCGTTATGGTCCTTCACTCATTCACATACATTGTTTAAAGGTAAATGACAGTCACTGGTGAAAATGCACCTGATTTACTATTGAATGCTGAAGGAAATGGTTTAATAAATAGCCTAGTGCATAGTTGGCTACTACTGCCCCATGTATCGTTTCTCTTTCAGGAGGAGCTCAACTTTTCTATCCCAACACTTATGCCACAGCATTTCTACAATCAAAATAAACTATCTACAAATGGGAGACTTGTGCCCCGACACAGTGACTGTAACAGAGCCGTGTGTCTGTCTGGGGAAATGAGAGCAGAGGGGGAGTGGCTTGTTATAATCCAATCGTTGCAGCAAGCTCAACTGATACCCCGCCTGTTTTCTTTACAGACAGAAGAACTAGCCAATAGTTGTTTGGAGCACACAGCTCTTCATAATGTTTGAGTGAAAGAGAGATGCGTTCTGGCAGCTGAAAATTACTTTTTTCCGATAACAGACAATTACAAAAAATACTTCTCATAATCGTATTCGGAAAATTCTCCTTATCCGTTACGATACTTGTTTTGTCCGAGTCCTCGGCACATCCCTAGTTCAGGGACACTAAAGGGCCTTCACTCTGTTGTTGTTTACTTCCTGTCTTTGTCTCTATGGTTACCAGGGACTCAGGACTTTTGATGTGTTTATAAATATCTGACTGGAAGGAGCTCAGAGCTCAGAGGCCTCCTCAGTTCCATCCTCATTAGGAGAACTGTTAGTCCTCCTCAGTTCCATCCTCATTAGGAGAACTGTTAGTCCTCCTCAGTTCCATCCTCATTAGGAGAACTGTTAGTCCTCCTCAGTTCCATCCTCATTAGGAGAACTGTTCGTCCTCCTCAGTTCCATCCTCATTAGGAGAACTGTTAGTCCTCCTCAGTTCCATCCTCATTAGGAGAACTGTTAGTCCTCCTCAGTTCCATCCTCATTAGGAGAACTGTTAGTCCTCCTCAGTTCCATCCTCATTAGGAGAACTGTTAGTCCTCCTCAGTTCCATCCTCATTAGGAGAACTGTTAGTCCTCCTCAGTTCCATCCTCATTAGGAGAACTGTTCGTCCTCCTCAGTTCCATCCTCATTAGGAGAACTGTTAGTCCTCCTCAGTTCCATCCTCATTAGGAGAACTGTTAGTCCTCCTCAGTTCCATCCTCATTAGGAGAACTGTTAGTCCTCCTCAGTTCCATCCTCATTAGGAGAACTGTTAGTCCTCCTCAGTTCCATCCTCATTAGGAGAACTGTTCGTCCTCCTCAGTTCCATCCTCATTAGGAGAACTGTTAGTCCTCCTCAGTTCCATCCTCATTAGGAGAACTGTTCGTCCTCCTCAGTTCCATCCTCATTAGGAGAACTGTTAGTCCTCCTCAGTTCCATCCTCATTAGGAGAACTGTTAGTCCTCCTCAGTTCCATCCTCATTAGGAGAACTGTTAGTCCTCCTCAGTTCCATCCTCATTAGGAGAACTGTTAGTCCTCCTCAGTTCCATCCTCATTAGGAGAACTGTTAGTCCTCCTCAGTTCCATCCTCATTAGGAGAACTGTTCGTCCTCCTCAGTTCCATCCTCATTAGGAGAACTGTTCGTCCTCCTCAGTTCCATCCTCATTAGGAGAACTGTTAGTCCTCCTCAGTTCCATCCTCATTAGGAGAACTGTTAGTCCTCCTCAGTTCCATCCTCATTAGGAGAACTGTTAGTCCTCCTCAGTTCCATCCTCATTAGGAGAACTGTTCGTCCTCCTCAGTTCCATCCTCATTAGGAGAACTGTTAGTCCTCCTCAGTTCCATCCTCATTAGGAGAACTGTTAGTCCTCCTCAGTTCCATCCTCATTAGGAGAACTGTTAGTCATCCTCAGTTCCATCCTCATTAGGAGAACTGTTAGGCCTCCTCAGTTCCATCCTCATTAGGAGAACTGTTTGGATGCAGTAATAACCAGTGGTGTAGTGGAGGGTAAACGCACGAGGCTTACCTAAGAAGGAAAAATGCATTGAAAATAAAGGAAGCTTTGCTTTATTCACTGCGAATGGTGATCAGCGTTTACCCACCAATGGTAACAACTCTCCATTATCCCTGTCTCCAGATTATAGTAGTTATATGATTCTATGTGATGTCTCCAGATTGAGGGCCAAGGCCATGGGGTGATGTTTGACTGGAGTAGTTATATGATTATCCATTATCCCTGTCTCCAGATTGAGGGCCAAGGCCATGGGGCGGTGTTTGACTGTAAGTGTAGTCCTGATGGACAGCACTTTGCTGCTACAGACTCACATGGTCACCTGCTCATCTTCGGCTTCGGATCCAGCAGCAAGTACGACAAGGTACACACTACGAGGCTACTACTACTACAATACTATACTACTACTACTACTACTACTACTACAATACTATACTAATACTACTACTACAATACTATACTACTACTACTACTACTACTACTACTAAACTACTACTATATTACGATACTACTACTACTATACTACGACTACTGACTACACACTACTACTACTACACATACTACTACTACTATAATACTACTACTACTACACATAACTACTACTACTATATACTATACTACACTACTCACTACATACTACTACTACACACACTACTACTACTACACTACGATACTACTACTACTAACTACTACTACACTACTACTATAACATACATACTACTACTACTAATACTACTATACTACTACTACACTACTATACTACTACTACTACTACTACTACTACAATACTCTACTACTACTACTACTACTACAATACTATACTACTACTACTACTACTACTACTACTACTACGATACTACACTACTTTGACTACTGCTTTACTACTTTTACTACTACGGTACTACACTACTACTACGATACTATACTATGATACTATACTACTATGATACTCTAATACTACTACTACCACTACTACTATGATACTATACTACTATGATACTACTACTATTACTACTACTACCACTACTACTATGATACTATACTACTATGATACTACTATTACTACTATGATACTATAATACTTATACTACGACACTACTATACTACTTTTCTACTACATACTACTGCTACGATACTATGCTCCAATACTACAACTACGATACTACTACTACTACTTTTGCTACTGTACTACAATGATACTACTACTACATATACCTCAATACTATACTACTACTACTACTGCTATGAAACTATACTACTAATACTACTACTACTACAGCTACTGCGATACAATACCAGTTCTACAACTACTATGATACTATACTACTATACTACTACTACTACTACTAGTAGTATGATACTACTACTACTACTACTACTACTACTACTACTACTACTACTACTACTACTACTACTACTACTACTACTACTACTAATAATAATAATAATACTGCTACTACTAATACTGCTACTACTAATACTGCTACTACTACTTTGATACTATACCACTACCACTATGATACTATACTACTACTACTATGGCTACTACTACTATACTACAACTACTATGAATACTACAATACACTACTACTACTACTACTACTAGTACCACTATGATACTACTACTACTACTACTACTACTACTACTACTACTACAGTACTGTGCTTCTAATACTATACTACTACTGTTACTACTACTATGATACTATACTATTATGATACTACTACTACACTGTTACGGTACTACTGCGATACTACTACTACTACTACTACTACTACTACTACTACTACAGTACTGTGATTCTACTACTATACTACTACTGTTACTAGTACTATGATACTATACTAATTCTACTACTACTATTATAGTACTACTCTACAACCTATTGTGCAACTACTCAACAACATCTTTCTCTCTCCCTCCCTCTCCCAGATAGCGGACCAGATGTTCTTCCATACTGACTACCGGCCGTTGATCCGGGATGTTAATAACTACGTGTTAGACGAACAGACCCAGCAGGCACCTCACCTTATGCCCCCTCCCTTCCTGGTGGACGTAGACGGGAACCCCCACCCCCCTCCATACCAACGCCTCGTACCCGGACGAGAGAGCTGCAGAGACCAGCAGCTCATACCACAGATGGGAGTCACCTCCTCAGGTACATGTCAGTGAGTCACCACCTCCTCAGGTACATGTCAGTGAGTCACCACCTCCTCAGGTACATGTCAGTGAGTCACCACCTCCTCAGGTACATGTCAGTGAGTCACCACCTCCTCCGGTACATGTCAGTGAGTCACCACCTCCTCCGGTACATGTCAGTGAGTCACCACCTCCTCAGGTACATGTCAGTGAGTCACCACCTCCTCAGGTACATGTCAGTGAGTCACCACCTCCTCCGGTACATGTCAGTGAGTCACCACCTCCTCCGGTACATGTCAGTGAGTCACCACCTCCTCAGGTACATGTCAGTGAGTCACCACCTCCTCAGGTACATGTCAGTGAGTCACCACCTCCTCAGGTACATGTCAGTGAGTCACCACCTCCTCAGGTACATGTCAGTGAGTCACCACCTCCTCCGGTACATGTCAGTGAGTCACCACCTCCTCAGGTACATGTCAGTGAGTCACCACCTCCTCCGGTACATGTCAGTGAGTCACCACCTCCTCCGGTACATGTCAGTGAGTCACCACCTCCTCCGGTACATATCAGTGAGTCACCACCTCCTCCGGTACATGTCAGTGAGTCACCACCTCCTCAGGTACATGTCAGTGAGTCACCACCTCCTCCGGTACATGTCAGTGAGTCACCACCTCCTCAGGTACATGTCAGTGAGTCACCACCTCCTCAGGTACATGTCAGTGAGTCACCACCTCCTCCGGTACATGTCAGTGAGTCACCACCTCCTCAGGTACATGTCAGTGAGTCACCACCTCCTCAGGTACATGTCAGTGAGTCACCACCTCCTCAGGTACATGTCAGTGAGTCACCACCTCCTCAGGTACATGTCAGTGAGTCACCACCTCCTCAGGTACATGTCAGTGAGTCACCACCTCCTCCGGTACATGTCAGTGAGTCACCACCTCCTCAGGTACATGTCAGTGAGTCACCACCTCCTCAGGTACATGTCAGTGAGTCACCACCTCCTCAGGTACATGTCAGTGAGTCACCACCTCCTCAGGTACATGTCAGTGAGTCACCACCTCCTCAGGTACATGTCAGTGAGTCACCACCTCCTCAGGTACATGTCAGTGAGTCACCACCTCCTCCGGTACATGTCAGTGAGTCACCACCTCCTCAGGTACATATCAGTGAGTCACCACCTCCTCAGGTACATGTCAGTGAGTCACCACCTCCTCAGGTACATGTCAGTGAGTCACCACCTCCTCCGGTACATGTCAGTGAGTCACCACCCCCACCACCACCTCCTCCCATAGAGAGACAGTGTGACCGTTATTTCAGCCACAAGATTGTGGTTGGCTTATCTGCATGTGCTTGGATTTGCTTCACTTTGACTGATATTCAGTGAGGGAAAAAGTATTTGATCCCCTGCTGATTTTGTACGTTTGCCCACTGACAAAAAAATGATCAGTCTATAATTTTAATGGTAGGTTTATTTGAACAGTGAGAGACAGAATAACAACAAAAAAATCCTGAAAAATGCATGTCAAAAATGTTATAAATTGATTTTCATTTTAATGAGGGAAATAAGTATTTGACCCCCTCTCAATCAGAAAGATTTCTGGCTCCCAAGTGTCTTTTATACAGGTAACGAGCTGAGATTAGGAGCACACTCTTAAAGGGAGTGCTCCTAATCTCAGTTTGTTACCTGTATAAAAGACACCTGTCCACAGAAGCAATCAATCAATCAGATTCCAAACTCTCCACCATGGCCAAGACCAAAGAGCTCTCCAAGGATGTCAGGGACAAGATTGTAGACCTACACAAGGCTGGAATGGGCTACAAGACCATCGCCAAGCAGCTTGGTGAGAAGGTGACAACAGTTGGTGGGATTATTCGCAAATGGAAGAAACACAAAAGAACTGTCAATCTCCCTTGGCCTGGGGCTCCATGCAAGATCTCACCTCGTGGAGTTGCAATGATCATGAGAACGGTGAGGAATCAGCCCAGAACTACACGGGAGGATCTTGTCAATGATCTCAAGGCAGCTGGGACCATAGTCACCAAGAAAACAATTGGTAACACACTACGCCGTGAAGGACTGAAATCCTGCAGCGCCCGCAAGGTCCCACTGCTCAAGAAAGCACATATACAGGCCCGTCTGAAGTTTTCCAATGAACATCTGAATGATTCAGAGGAGAACTGGGTGAAAGTGTTGTGGTCAGATGAGACCAAAATCGAGCTCTTTGGCATCAACTCAACTCGCCGTGTTTGGAGGAGAAGGAATGCTGCCTATGACCCCAAGAACACCATCCCCACCGTCAAACAAGGAGGTGGAAACATTATGCTTTGGGGGTGTTTTTCTGCTAAGGGGACAGGACAACTTCACCGCATCAAAGGGACGATGGACGGGGCCATGTACCATCAAATCTTGGGTGAGAACCTCCTTCCCTCAGCCAGGGCATTGAAAATGGGTCGTGGATGGGTATTCCAGCATGACAATGACCCAAAACACACGGCCAAGGTAACAAAGGAGTGGCTCAAGAAGAAGCACATTAAGGTCCTGGAGTGGCCTAGCCAGTCTCCAGACCTTAATCCCATAGAAAATCTGTGGAGGGATCTGAAGGTTTGAGTTGCCAAACGTCAGCCTCGAAACCTTAATGACTTGGAGAAGATCTGCAAAGAGGAGTGGATCAAAATCCCTCCTGAGATGTGTGCAAACCTGGTGGCCAACTACAAGAAACATCTGAGCTCTGTGATTGCCAACAAGGGTTTTGCCACCAAGTACTAAGTCATGTTTTGCAGAGGGGTCAAATACTTATTTCCCTCATTAAAAGGCAAATCAATTTATAACATTTTTGACATGCGTTTTTCTGGATTTTTTTGTTGTTGTTATTCTGTCTCTCACTGTACAAATAAACCTACCATTAAAATTATAGACTGATCATGTCTTTGTTAGTGGGCAAACGTACAAAATCAGCAGGGGATCAAATACTTTTTTCCCTCACTGTAGGTGCCGGTACTCATTTTGTGTGCATATACTGTTTATATTTAGGTGCAGGAACTCTGCAATAGTTTAAGCCAATATTCTATATCTTTTTTATTAATTTTACTTTTATTCAGGGGACCAGGGTCTTATTTACAACAAATTCAATATGATCAAAACAAATAAAATACAAATGACAGAATTAACACCACAGCTTCAAACACCACAAATACAAGTATTTACATTCAATCAAAACAGTTGCATTTCTCATAAAATTCATTCAACATTTAAGTCCTAAATTGCCCTCGAGGCACCAAGGGAGTTTTGTAGGATATTCAAAAAATGTCGGTCACTAAAACTGAAGGCGGATTTACCTGGGTTGGTGCGTACTGGTGGAACCTCGAGAGTTAACCTTCCCTGTGAACGGGGTTGGTGCGTACTAGTGGAACGTCGAGAGTTAACCTTCCCTGTGAACGGGGTTGGTGCGTACTGGTGGAACCTCGAGAGTTAACCTTCCCTGTGAACGGGGTTGGTGCGTACTAGTGGAACCTCGAGAGTTAACCTTCCCTGTGAACGGGGTTGGTGCGTACTAGTGGAACCTGGAAAGTTAACCTTCCCTGTGAACGGGGTTGGTGCGTACTAGTGGAACCTCGAGAGTTAACCTTCCCTGTGAACGGGGTTGGTGCGTACTGGTGGAACCTTGAGAGTTAACCTTCCCTGTGAACGGGGTTGGTGCGTACTGGTGGAACCTCGAGAGTTAACCTTCCCTGTGAACGGGGTTGGTGCGTACTGGTGGAACCTCGAGAGTTAACCTTCCCTGTGAACGGGGTTGGTGCGTACTGGTGGAACCTCGAGAGTTAACCTTCCCTGTGAACGGGGTTGGTGCGTACTAGTGGAACCTCGAGAGTTAACCTTCCCTGTGAACGGGGTTGGTGCGTACTAGTGGAACCTGGAGAGTTAACCTTCCCTGTGAACGGGGTTGGTGCGTACTAGTGGAACCTCGAGAGTTAACCTTCCCTGTGAACGGGGTTGGTGCGTACTGGTGGAACCTCGAGAGTTAACCTTCCCTGTGAACGGGGGTTGGTGCGTACTGGTGGAACCTCGAGAGTTAACCTTCCCTGTGAACGGGGTTGGTGCGTACTGGTGGAACCTCGAGAGTTAACCTTCCCTGTGAACGGGGTTGGTGCGTACTAGTGGAACCTCGAGAGTTAACCTTCCCTGTGAACGGGGTTGGTGCGTACTGGTGGAACCTCGAGAGTTAACCTTCCCTGTGAACGGGGTTGGTGCGTACTGGTGGAACCTCGAGAGTTAACCTTCCCTGTGAACGGGGTTGGTGCGTACTAGTGGAACCTCGAGAGTTAACCTTCCCTGTGAACGGGGTTGGTGCGTACTAGTGGAACCTCGAGAGTTAACCTTCCCTGTGAACGGGGTTGGTGCGTACTGGTGGAACCTCGAGAGTTAACCTTCCCTGTGAACGGGGTTGGTGCGTACTGGTGGAACCTCGAGAGTTAACCTTCCCTGTGAACGGGGTTGGTGCGTACTGGTGGAACCTCGAGAGTTAACCTTCCCTGTGAACGGGGTTGGTGCGTACTAGTGGAACCTCGAGAGTTAACCTTCCCTGTGAACGGGGTTGGTGCGTACTGGTGGAACCTCGAGAGTTAACCTTCCCTGTGAACGGGGTTGGTGCGTACTGGTGGAACCTCGAGAGTTAACCTTCCCTGTGAACGGGGTTGGTGCGTACTAGTGGAACCTCGAGAGTTAACCTTCCCTGTGAACGGGGTTGGTGCGTACTGGTGGAACCTCGAGAGTTAACCTTCCCTGTGAACGGGGTTGGTGCGTAGTAGTGGAACCTCGAGAGTTAACCTTCCCTGTGAACGGGGTTGGTGCGTACTAGTGGAACCTCGAGAGTTAACCTTCCCTGTGAACGGGGTTGGTGCGTACTAGTGGAACCTCGAGAGTTAACCTTCCCTGTGAACGGGGTTGGTGCGTACTGGTGGAACCTCGAGAGTTAACCTTCCCTGTGAACGGGGTTGGTGCGTACTGGTGGAACCTC